CCGTCTACCTCGCCGCCAGCTACGAGGAGATCCTCGTTCTGGCCCAGTCTGCTGACACGCGAATCCGACTGATTTTCAGTCTCAATCATCCGCAAGGCGAGGCCGCCGCCACTTTCGCGCGTCCTTCCTCGGCCTGCGCTTTTACGATTATAAAGAAAGATCTGAATCCCGACGAGGGCAGGGGCAGGGGAGAGGGAGGGGAATGAGAAAAGTTTGCTTATTGACTTAATGAATTATCATGTATGTACTATGCAGGGCTTTAGAACCTAAGATGTCTGCAACTAACGTGATAATAAGTTTATTATAGTTAAAAATAATATAAGTTAAAAATTAAAAATTACAAGAGAATTATCATCAAGAATTTAAAATTTAACAAAAGTAAAACAAATTATTAAAATATGATATGAGATATAAAGTTTACTAAAAGAAAGACTTAACAAACAAATAGAATGAAATAAGAGCTGGTTATACCTAATCAAAATTATATTAAATACAATTTCAATTATATATGTAATTACGATATAACTTTGCATAATTGTACGACCAACGAATTTTATATAATTGAGTCTTTGTTATTATAATCGCATCTATAATTGGAAAAATTACATCTGATCTGTTAAAATGCAGATAATCTTAAATTTACAAAGGGATATAAGTACAACCAGATCGAATACAAATAGAATCTTGTATCAATATGAGAATTATTATAAGAATGAAAGAAAAGTATTTGCCTTCGTATTCCTCGACATGTTAACATATACATCGGTCGATTGAATTTGTCTGAAAAATTATACTGATTTTGATCGCGAACATGAGTGGAGCGTGCGATGTTTTTTGACATTTCAAGGTTTCTTATATCGAGACATGGCACGAATCGCCACTTTGAGAATGCTATAAGCGTTGGTCAGTTGATCACGTGTTGCGTGATAGCCGGGGATTCCCGATCGATCGGCCGTTTTTATTTCGCAACTGCAGCTCCCACTGCAGGTCCATCGATCAACAACTCGAACAGTATATATTTTGTCAATTCTAATACGTCGCCCCCCTTTACGTGAGTGTTACGACGAGTCACTGCAAGGCGATATATACATATCATGATCATTAGACCTGCTTTTCGAATTTTAAATTATAATATGTACGTTTCTACGTTCCTTCTCTTTCAATCTTAATAGGCTTAACTGGATAATATACATATATATATATATATATATATATATATATATATATATATGTTAGTTAAACTCTTTTGGGAGTTCTGGCTTTATATAGTATTTTTGTAACTGCAGCGCAAGTTTGATTGGAATTATAATAATAATGAAAATGTGAAAAATTCATATAATGTCATATCCGTCTGATTTTATGATTTTAGATCACACCTACAACAACAAGCCGATCGATTAAAGTTGCGCGACACACCTAATTCGAATAACTATAATATCCTTTGCTAGTCCCTATATGCATGAGACAGACTCTATGTGCGTGACACACCATTCTCGAATGCAAAACATATTCGGCTACTTTCAGCAATGATTTATGTGCTCGTTTAATCTTTGGGTTAGTTAACAACTATTCTGCCATTTCGAATTTCATCACTGATAGAGACTATAGTAAATCGATAGTAGATCCAAAAGTCAATACAAAATCATTGTAATGTTATATCTAATCGGTCCACAATAAATCGATAAAAAAGAATGTTGTAGTAATACTTTAAAATAATGCTAACTTTTTTAAATTAAAAATATAGATTTAAGACGCATTGAAATTTCTATCGCATTGACATGTCATATCTATAATTTAACCAATTTTCGTAAGAAACGATACCTTTTATAAAAATTATGCAGATTACGAACTTAGAACGTATGTAATTTTTTCTATTATTATACTTATTAATTTTTTAAATGTTATCATAAAAAAGAAAAAAATAATAATTTATTAGATTAATACAAAAAATTTCTTATTTTTTCATAAAGCAAAGTGTTAATTTAATTTTACAATAAAGAAATCTCTTTATTGTAAAATTAATAGATAATAAAAGCTTCTGTTATAGTATTGAATCTCGAGAGTATAACGCGCTTTATATTTTTTTAATATTATTCAAATTAAATTCACTGAAATGATAAGTTTCACTATTCTAATTTTTTGGAAAAACTTGATCAGAAAGTTATGCATTCCACGATTATGAAAAGATTGAAAAAGATTAAAGTAAATGATTATCTTGATCAATATAAAGATTACTTCTGAACCATATGACTATGTTTAATCGTTAAAAAATTTTGTATAAAAATTAACGATTAAGTATAAAATAGAGAAATCAATCAAAAATATAATTAAACCATAACTGTAGTTCTAAAACTTTTCATTTATAGATATAATGTAATAATAGATTATACGAGATAAATATTTTAAATATACTAACTTGATTCGATCAACCGGCACCGCGGCGCGGGAACAAAGCAAGAATCCGCTGAAGAAAACACTCGCAAGTTTACCAAAGTTCACTGACACGACGCCGCGATTGTTGATCCGTGATCGACGTAAAATTCACAGTATTATCATTATCGTTCACAGCATTGATGACAGCGTTCATGACGACGCACGCGAATATGGATCACGGACGAATTTGCCTTATCGAAGTTGATTCGGTTGAATCGCGAAGATCGCGGCAGCAGTATACATATTCATGCGTCCTTCGACGATGGCGTCCCGACGTCGAGTGGTCGCGCAACCTCGGCACCGCCGGCCTCCGTCGACGTCCTCTCACGCCGTCTCCGTCGTCGCTCTTTGTTGGGCCGGGGTCGGGGCGGCGTCGATGCCCCGTGTCAGTGAACGCGGAACTTGTTGCACCGACATTAAAATTTCAAAGAGACGCATCACAAAAGAGCGAGAAACGCAGTATCGTCGTTATTTAATTATATAAGTACGTTGCCGAAAAGCAAATGTACGTGCGGGTGTTTCTCAATAATTGTGCAATTTATATAACGCATACTAAATTAACGCGACTCTTTTACAAAGATATGTTTTGATTTTTGCAAGATATTTCAATACTTTCAGTTGTAATAAATTTATGAAAATGTAAAAAATTGCGATTGTAATAACGTTGACGTTATCCATCGTATGATTTTAACATCACATGTAATGTAAGGGCCACGCTTACAATTAGTTTGTATTAAAGCTGTATTAATAGGTACTATGAGTGAGTGAATAATTAATGAGTGAGAGAGAGAGAGAGAGAGAAAGAGAGAGCAAAATATTAGTATAATACATATCGATTAAATTTAATTTGACAAATTTGTGCAAAACACAAGCTTTAGCTGAGAATATTCCTAAAATTTTTTACTTTTTCCGCTTTTTAAAGCTTTCTACATTTAATCCAAATAATATTATATATATATATATATATATATAATATATATACATATAATATATTGTGCAGGCGTTGTGTGTGTGTGTGTGTGTGTGTGTACCCTGCCTGCCACAATACATGAAAAAAATAAACATGCCATATCTTGGTCGCAAAGTTATTGAAAATATATGATACGTACGTCTCTGGCACGTTGCGCGACATAAATAATTTGTTTTAATTAATCAGTGTTTATCAGATTTTCTGTGTATTGTAATTCATATTTCGAAAATAAATTTTTTTAAGTATTTTATCTTTTAAACTCTATTATTTTTTATGTAATGAATTTGACTGTTAGTTAATTACAACTACAGCTATCTGTCATTCATACTCTGCAACGAATAACATTGATTAAGACTTTCGAAAAGTTGTTGCAACGTAATGTGCGATGAGTTTATAGCACGTCATTATATAGTTATCGTACTTAATTGCCACTTTTAGTACGTGCAGGCAGGCACCATATACCAGCTAGTTGAGAATTATTTCGTTTCTTCGAAATTTGCTTAGTTAATCTCGTTGTTGGAGAAACAAATAAAATTAAATGCGCCGCCATAAGAAAATCGATCTTGAATCATATATACAATCAATTGTAATAACGCAGTACAGTTTCAGTTCTTAAACGTACCTATAGCTCGTATTATAATCATATATATACATAACATCGTGTATGTGTGTGTGATCTGTCCGTATATATAATATTTTAAGTTATAGCACTAATAGACAATATTTCTTGACATTTCATGTCGTGACTCACGCGACGTGATTTTAGTAAGTTAAGTAACGTAATATACTTCGCAGTGAAGGGATAAATTAGAAAACTGAATCAATATAGTTATCACGTAATTATATCAACCAGTATATATATGTATAATTATATATACAAGGTGTCCCGTAAATCTGCAATCATTTGGAAGATGATTGGGTTACAGAACACCCTGTATATAATATATATGTATACATGCACGCGCGCACACATGTATGCAGTATATATATAATATGTTGATGGTGTAGATATACTACTATATCTACTACGTATATATATGCGCGCACATTAGAAAAGATTTTTCACCGCAATTATATATATATATATATATATATATTGTTGTTGGACCAATGGGAATCGTATGTAAATAAATATATGGCGATCACTTTATGCTGGATTCAATTATATTGGTCCAGCGGTTTTATGCTATGCTTATAATATGCTAGCTGTTATGCATTTCATGTGCTCCCGCGCGGCTTTATACGCACGTGTTACCATATGTTGCGAGTAAATGCGCTGATAAAACGAAAACTACAAGTAGCTAGACTTTAATATAATATATAAGCATAATATAATTGCGTAGTCTGGCCAAATTTTGACTATGCAAACTAATTTTCATAAATTCTTTCTCCCATATTACTATATAAGTTCCAGCTGTAGCGAAATAAAATGTCGGTTAATTCTTTTCTATTTTAGAAATCGCTTATCTATGTACTATAGATATATATACTAATGTAGACAAAAAAAAACGACTTTAAAAGTCTTCAACTTAAAAAGGATAGATTTTATATAGTTCACATTACTTTCTTTCTCTCTCTTTCTTTCATCCTTGATGCCTTTCATTTTATCAACGAGCATGTATTAACAATAGGTAAAAAAGCAATTTGCATCCTTCTCAGTTATCAATTAAGAACAGTTATTGATCGTCGGCAATAGTGTGAGCGAACAAATAATGGTTCTCTTTTCTACCTTTTGTAACAATCTATATAATTAATAATAAATTAGTTATTGTTGATCGAAAGATGGAGGAAGAAAAAAGAAAAATTAATGATACTGAAGATGAGTCTGTTTTCTATATCGAAATAGTGTACATACACTTTTTGCACTTAAAGTGAAATAGATATATATTTAGTATTTGGCAAAAGCAAGAAAGTTCCAATCCAGGAATAGAAAACAGCCAACAAGTCTAATGTAAATGAAAAAGTAGATTTCTACATAGAAAACTTTTATCTTCTAACAAAATAAGTCATCTATAATCAACATGTAATATTCTTATATATATATTATTATTAGCAACTTTTTAAATGTCATATATATAGATATACCTTATACGTACGTTTTTAAATATGAGATAAAGAAGAACATCAATGACACAAAAAATATATTTTTTTCTCATTTACCAATTCTATTTATTTCTTTTTCTCTTCTTTGATAGTCCAATTACAGATTCTTCATCCGGCTCCTGTTTTTGAAAATAAATTTTATCAATCTTAATGATCGATTTATTTTCTTTTTTCTTTTTCTTTTTTATCTTTGACAGTTTAGTTTCAGTTTCCTTATTTTGCTCTTGACTATCATAATCAATTTCCAGCTGAAATGCATTTTCATGCATTGATTTTCTCTTCTTCCTTGATGTTTTCAATCCCATGTTTTCTAGTGTCTCCTTTTGAATATCTTTTGATTTATTCATTGCTGATTTGTTATTAAAATTGGATAAATTGCTGTAAATATTCATTTTTTCTACTTCTTTTTTACTTCTTTTTGTCTTTACTTTATTATCTATTTTGGATGTCTTTATTTGTTCATCACTTGTTGAAATTTCTTCTTTCTCTTTCTCGTCCTTCTTTTTCTTATCTCTCTTCTCCTTCTTTTTTTCCTTTTCGTCTTTCTCTCGTTTATCCACGGTTGTTTTCGCCATGACATCCAAGTTAGCCTCAACGAGATTTCTATATTCGTTACCTCCTTTGAGTTTGCACTTAGGTAGAGTCACGTCAAAGTTCCTCTCAAATATCGCCACAAAAAAACCATTACAAAAATCTTCATCTGGCTTCGAATACAAACATCTATCTCCGCAGTTGTATTTTTTCGAGCTAAAGTTTGTCCAATTATTTTTGAGCAATTGTCTAACTGGTAACAGATGATAAGCGTTACCAATATTGGCCAAAACTTGGTCTACTACTTGCTCATTCTCCTCGGGATGTAGAGAACATGTGCTGTAGATTATTCTCTTTACATTTGGAAAGTTGAACAGCGCGTATCTAAGAAGATAAACTTGGAACGCTTGTAAATTTTGTAAGCGCTTTGATTCGGGCTTACCATCCATATTGTTCTGTTTCGGTCTGTCAACTATGCCTTTAATGAAAATTGTAAAATTATATTTTAATAAATGCGTTCCGTAAATAGCAATAATGTAAAGAATTATAAAAACAAATTATTTCTCCTGTTTTTACTCTATTCTTTAATATGCTATTTGTCTATTTTATTAATTTATATTTGGTTTGATTCATTAGAAAGATAGAAAGTTGGACATTTTTTTACCTGAACCAGAACAAGATGGATCGACTAGAATGTATTCCACATGTGAATATAGTTTTGGATCAAGAGTTAAGACATCTTGATTAAGAGGTTCCACGCAAAATGAACGAGTCTTTTTTATCTGATTGAGTAAGATTTCAAATCTTTTAGCATTAACCTCCACAGCATAAACTTTCCTATTTAAAAACAATTTGTATCAATATATTATTTCTAAACTTAATTATTTCATTTAAACTAATTAAAACTAAGTAAAAAATAAATCTTTAATAAATAAATTTGGTTCTCATCTTACATCTATAATCTGATATAACAAATCTTATTGGAAAACAAATAGCATACCCGTAATTTTGCAGTTTTGCTGCTACTTGAGTAGTTTTCATGCCGGGCGCAGCACACATATCCAGCACTACAGAACCATTAATAGGATCCAATAAGTGCACTGGCAAACTACTAGCCTGAAAATAAAATAAAATTCTTAATGTAAAATTGTGAAATGCATCTTACTAGATCTTAATGGTGCTAATTTATGTATTAATAATAGAATATGTTAATATAATATGTAATAATACTTATGAGTCAATTTTAAGCAGAATTTGTTCTGGTAAAACTTGTAAGAACTTATGTAAGACTGGAATTGTAATTCTATCCGTATCGTAAAACGTACAATAATTCATAATATGTCTATAATTTTTCGTAAATCTTACGGCTAGCAAGAACTTGTTTGTAAAGATATTGCATAAACATCATTAGTTCTTATAAATCTTACGAGAACAAATTACGAGAACGAGCTTTACATACGATTCTGCTTCGAATTGACTCATCTACTAAAAGTTGATAAAGTTGAGTGAATGTCTGTAAACTAATATTACATAATTATAAAAATGTCTTCATTTGCATTTAGAGCTGACTTATTAGTTTCATAATAAAAGTTTAATAACATACCATATGGTATAATATAAGGTACAAAGAAAATATATTTTCAGTTAGAAAAGATCCTATTATCTATACCTTATCTTGAAGAATAAGCTCGCCATTTTGATAGCCACTGTGTTCATGAAAGACTGTCGAGGGTGGAAAAGCCAACAATTCTGGTACATGCAGATCTTGTATAAAATACGGCTTTGCTAACTGTGATAAGGATTGTAGATAAGAAGGATATGTTGTACTTTTAGGTAATAATTGCCATCCATCCTTTTGAAGGAAAAAAATAGCTTTTTCCACTGATAACAGAAGAGTATTGACACGGACATATCTAGGCCTTTGCACTGAAAAAGAGAGAAAAAAAAGTCAAATCTTTTTGAAGAGATTTTCAGTAAATTAAACATAGTATTAAATTTGTGTATATATATATATATATATATATATATATGTGTGTGTGTGTGTGTGTGTGTGTGTGTGTGTGTGCATATGTACATGTACGCATATATGTACATACACATAACCGACCGAGAAAATAACAAAAGAAAGAAATCTAATGATAAAAAAAGAGAAAAAATGGTTTAATTTCTAAATCTAGCAAATTATGTATATTATTATTATTATTATTATTACAGATCAAACCTTTTTTATGGTATTTTTATGTATTTATGGATATGTAATTTCTTTTTAACACAAATTTTACAGCAAATTGAAAAAGGAAATCAAAGTAACATTAAATTTAAATTTGATTTTAATCGTGCACACAAAATCTAATATTAAAATCAGAAATATTTTCGTATGAAATGAAAAGTAGTGCAGAGTATGTCTGAACACAAATTATATTAGAAAATAAATTTTTTATTTCTTATATAGAATATATCATAATGAAGATATGGTCGTTTGACAGGGATTAGAGGTGACTAATTTGATTTCTTCAAAATAAAGTGTAATACTTTTTGTTGCTATTTTATTACAAAAAGATTGTTTATCATTATATATAGTATTTACTTATACATTTATCTATATTACATATATATAAATATATATATATATCTATATATTATATATATTTACATCTCTTTTAATTATTAAATTTATTTTTTCTGTTACACATGTACACATATCAAATATATATATATATATATTATATTTTAATTTAAATTAAAAAAAAGATTAATTTTTTTCCTTTCAAATAAAAAATACTTGATATTTTGTAAATTTCCTTTTCTTGAAAAGAAAATGATTTTAATCAACTTTCTTATTCAAGTTTTCTTTAGACTCTACTCTAATTTCATCTTCGCTTTGTTCTTTCTCCTCGACAGACTCGTTTAAAGCCTGATAAGCGTAACAAGAGATAATCAAATTCACTGTGACTACAGCAGCCAGTACAGAAACATAATTAGTCATGGCAGTATCAGTCTGGAATTCTAATATCATGAAACGTTGTATCCCAAAGAAGGCAGCAAACGGTAATGTAAACATGGCGACGCTATAGAGGAACAATGTTCCCAATACCGTCGCCGGACCCATCGCGCAGTTGCTCTTTCTGTCACAAATTGATTCCTGATGACAGAATCTGCTTTGATAATTTTGTAGATTTCCGACTTTAACTAGTTTGTTCTGTCGACTGGATAATATTCTGCAGTTGCGAATAATCAGGACCATGAAGGAGATTGCCTTTAGTGCGTTAGGATGAGTCTCCAGAGATGGAAATTCTGCAAAAATGCAAGCATGCAGTGATTATTGAGCACAGTTTACCTTTTCCTCTATGAGCGACGAGAGTTTCTATACAGCCGAGACTTTGTGACTCTTCCCGTAATTTGTTCTCGTAAGTTAGGATGGTAAGGACTGGCTTGGAGTGGCTCTTGAGACATCCCTTGCGCCATAAAAGCTCCGTTATGAGAACTCTGGCTAGCCAGGGATTCAAACGCGGTTGTTCCGTTAGAATTTGGGTCTTGTCGAGTAGCTGATCTAACTGAGATAGCGCTTGTAAGGTATTCACCGCGAGGCCGTATATGCCGGCCACATTCTGAATTGATACACGATAAATGATAAATTGATAAATTACATTCTTATAATGTAATTGTATTACGTAACAAGATTTACATTTAATGTAAGAAGACCAGATCTTTTTCTCAACTGATATTTCTCATATCTCTCTTCAACTACAATCGTCCTACAATTATTATACTTACGGGGTGCTTCTTCTCGTAAATCAAAGTTTTCAGGCTGGCACCATTCTCTCGCACGCGGCGCACGATGTCGGCCGTGAATTTGTAAATACGTGGGACCGTAATGGAATGCACGAATTCATTCGACATATTACGGATTTTAAGCTCTTGGAAAATTATATTTTTAATTAACCAACTAAATCCATCGTCATCCACCTTGATAGACATAGACCGCGCGCTCCGCACTCGTGCTCGCGCTGCCGTGTTTGCCGTTACTCCATTCTAAAAATTGGCAGTATTGGCACCTGGCTGACAAGTTCAGGTTCAAGATGGAGTCGACAATTCGACACGGCCAATCAATTTCACTAGAGACACTATGAGACTGGCCAATGTTGAGCCAATTTTTGATTGGCTGGATACGGAATGGCGCAGCCAATCTATGATGACTAAAAGAAGGAGAAAGAAGGGGAAATAGAAATGCGGGAAATAAAAGCAAATATGCATTTTAACATTACTTTTTATTAAAAAATAAATGGGTAATAAATGGGTACTTAACTATAAACACAAATTAGTAATAAAGATCATAAAATATCAACATAAATATAGATATACGCTTGTATCAAGATAAAATAATAATGGCAAAATAAGTATAAGTAGAATAAAATATTAAGGTAGTAGAGTAAAAATATTATATATATTTAAGATATTAACAATAAAATATTATTTGACTGATGCATGCATAGCCATGGTTTTACTATCATATCTTACAGATAATTGTTTCTCTTTAACAACATTCAATTATGCAGAATTTATTAATACTATTTAACATGACAGAATATTTAACAATAATAAAACATTAATATAATATATTTATTGTTTTATATACGTGCCGGTGAACGTCATTATTGTATGTGATGACACTTAAAGGCCAAGACACAGACTTTTGCATAACGCTGCATAACGCTGCATAACGCATAAGACGTAAGGCATAAGAGAATCAACCAATCAGAGTCATGAAATGAAGGACTCTGATTGGTTGATTTTCTTATACTTTATGTCTTGTGCGTTATGCAAAAGTTTGTGCTCCCGGCTTAAGACGTGAGTCACGTGAGATGTCCGCCATTTTCTATCCAACTAGAATATTGGCCAGTCTCCACTGAAATATAATAATACTGGAACGCGCACGGGCGCTAGTATCGTGATCCGACAAAGAGGCTCCTAAGTGGTATCTGTGTCTTTTTCTAGTACAATCTGGCCAAAAGTTTTATACGGCACACACCCCATGCTTCACGCATTGTATTCAACCTTCAAACATGCGCAGTATAGCTTGGAAAAGGATAAAGATACCACTTTGAATGCTCTTTCTCGGATCTCTTCTTAATAAAGGCGGCATGGGCCGTGCGCGTTCCAGTATTATTATATTTCAGTGCCAGTCTCTTATTATAGTGTCTCTACTCGAAGACAACGTGATGTGACGCCAACGGCAAAGCCCGCAAAGCACATCCACGTCTTTCAAGCCATAATCGCACTAGCGATTGAGGTTAGGATTGGATTGAAATTTGACCAATCAGAAGAAAAATAACTAATATCAAGTTTAATAAATTTTGCTTTGATTGGTCAAATCCCAATTCAATCTCAATCTCAATCTTTAGTCTGATACGGGCTTTAGAAATGTCAGAATCACCTTCACTGTGATTAGTCTATTTATAATGAGTCATCAAGGTGCAAATACATGAAGCGCGCTGAAACGCGGAGGAGGACAAAATTAACTAAACTTTAGGATGCGTTTCCATTGAGCGCGTCACTCGTCGCGTGTCATCCGTCGAATTAATCAACTAAAACTAAAATATCCCATTTTATAAAAAAAAAATTTTACAAATTATTAATATCGCATCATTTGCCGCGCGCGCGACGCGTCTTAGGATTAGGATTACGAATTTCTCGATATTCTAGAGATAAAAGAATCTTCCTCTGTATAAAATCTCGAATCGTGGCGCAGCAAATTACATAATAAAATGAGATGTTTTGATTGGTCAATTCGGATGACGCGCGCGTGACGCGCTCAGTGAGAACGCACCCTAAAGCGTTTCCGAATTCCGCGAGGGACACGGCCGCCATTTGCACGCGCCATCTGGCACTCGCGGCCAAATAGTATCGAGTATATCAGAGTATAGTGCGAATTCAGAGTTTCCTCTCGTGGAAGACGAGATTGTCGTCGGCGTTGTGTCGAAGTGCGACGGGTCTCGCGATCACATCTCTGTCTTCGGCAGATTTGAGGTTGAAATTTACAAGCGAGTCTGTGAATCTCTCTCTCTCGAGTTTCTGTCTAACCTGATCTCACTTCTTGGCTTGATTCGGTTAGAGTCTTCAAGTCTTCTGCGGGATACCGATTTAAGAACTGGTAATATTCTTGACCGATAATATTGCTCTATAAGCAAATAACTTTAGAATTTTAACATGACAATTTTTTTATGTAAACATATTTTTCTATTTTAGGAAACACGGGGAAGAGAGAAAGAGAGAGATAGAGTGAGAGAGAGAGAGAGAGAGAGAAAGGGAGAAATTTTCTGCTGCGATTGATTGAGAAAGAATCTTGTAATTAGCAATCTTGAAATTTGTGAAAATTTCCAAATACGGAGGAAAATACAAACTGCGCTTAGTTTCTTGTATTTCTTTTTCGTACACACTCATTTTAATGGTTGATATAAAAACACAGTTTTAAATATGCAACTAATGCTCTCACCAAGATGAAACATCTACTGTGACATTAACGATTGTATTGGAATTCATTTGTTTCAAGATTGCAATATGTGTGCAAAGAAGAAAGTGATTATATAGTGAGAACTACAGAATAGGGACAGCAACACTGTAGTCAGTATTATTCTTCAATGATTAAGGTATTTTACTTTGTTTTTTTATATGAAATAAAGATTTTGATAATTGTAAGATGTCTCTTTAAAAAAATAATATTACGAAAAAAGAAAATTATAACAAGTTGGCATGGTAAGCAGTGCTACAATTCTTATAAGATTTCAAATCAATAATATAATTGTGTATAATGATAATCTTTACAAACGTTTGGCACTGTTTGAGACATCCTCAGTATAGCAAAGTATCAATGTTCAGCGTATCATTCCTTCGATGAGATCCTATCCTATCTGTCTATTGACACTGAGGATGACTCAGAGTCAAAACGTTTGTAAAAATATTGTATATTATATATTGTATTACTGGTTTGAAATTTTATAAGAATTGCGCACTGCTTACCTTATAACACCCTTTTTTGTAATATTGTTTTTGAAAATTTAGGAATCCGTGACATATTCATGATATCCGTCTTACATTTATTTTTCTTAAATTTTATTATATACTAAAAATGTCCAGCAGGGAGGTATATATTCCATCTCAAACAAGAAGAGAGAAAACAAGGGATAAAGTTAAAATTTATCACATGCTGGAGAACAAGTATAAGTGGTTCTGAAGACGAAAGGAAAAAAAAGAGAAGATGCCGAATCCTGAAATCAGCAAACGTGATCACAATTATAGTGAATCGAAATCTCAATATGCCAACAATAGTGTCGATGGCGTTATCAGCAAGATACCTAAGACAGGGTCTATTGTGGGTCAAATTCGAGATATCAATGAGCTGAAGAAGATTGCGCCGCGCGTCCGTCTACAGGATACTGAGAGCTTGACGAATGAATTGACGAGGATCTCTTCTTTAAATAACCACAAGTCACAGCAAAACAATTCGTCCGTTCTCGAGAGAACGCGGCAAGAACTGAGAAAATACTGCCGCACTTGCGCTGGCCTAAAACTGCCCTTGGTATAAACTTTATATTTTTTCTTTTAATTCAGATGAGATCTTTTGTAGTTTGAATTTAAAATAAAAAGAAGGACAAGTGAAGAAATAAGATGGATAAAAATCAAATAATTAGACAAATGCTGAAATATTACAGTAAGAGTAGATTGATAGAATTGTTTTAGGAAAGTAAAAAACTTGAAATTCGTTTTACCTACATATTATTGTGATTTTTAGTTAATGTAATCTGTTACTTTAATGTTCCCCATTGTTTATTACGGGATCATCATTGGCATATCATAATTCTATTCGCATGGTTAATTTGTAACAGATATAATTGTTGATTACATTTCATTATTTTTATAATGGTTCAATAATCTTATTATATGCTATCGATTGTTTCACATTACAGGTGGATATCTTTAGTGAAAAGGGTATCAAATTGCGATTGAGTCAGCAAATCAAGCATCTCGAAGTGAATCCTTATGATAGTCCATGCACACAGATGTGCATGGACTGCATCTGCGATCTTAGAATGAGTTATAAATTTTTCATGCAGATTAAAAAAGCTGAGATAAAACTCAAATCTATCCAAGTCAATCTCACGACTGATAATGTCACGAAGAAAGTAATGCCGATCGACGTGTCTTCAGCAATGAAAGAAGAGAAACAATCATCTTATTCAGGTAGGTACTCTTCTTCGCATTTCTCATGTTTTTCGTGTATTTTAATTTACAGTGAATAATTTTACATTATATGATGTATATATGAATTTTACAATTCTTTTACAAGATTATTTTACACATCTTACAGTTTTTACATTTTCATCATTACGTTTTTCAATAACAAGATTTTTAATAAAAATTTTGCTTGTAAGTCATGTCTACTTAAAATTGTTTGAAAAATTTGTTGTTCAAAAAGCTCTCTAAAGCTTTTCAAGAATTTCTTGAAATTGTTTTTTTATAATTGCTTCAATTGTTTATAACTGAATATTTATAAGCCTAGATATGCTCAAATTATTAGAAAACAGAAACAACTCAGAACTTAAAATCGGCTAAGAGAATCTGCAATTCAATAAAAGCGCGACTATCAATAATCTTCAATGTATCATTTTGTTGTGTTTACCATAAAAGAGTTGTAAATTTTTTATTACTTAAAAATCTCATTTCTAGAACATTTCTAGAACAGTAAATTGGCAACATTTACCTAGAAAAAGAAAAAGAAAAGAAGATAAGAGTGATTACGTCAAAATAAGAAAATTTCTTTTTCTTCAGAAACAAAGCAAGAATATCAATTAACATCAGCAATCCAACAAAATCCATCTTTATTCCATCAAAATCCAACACCAACAAAGCATGAAAACCAAACCATTTCTGGGAGTCAAGCAGATGACTCTGTTCCCAAAATTTGCGCCATCTTTTCGTTGAACGAATCGAAAGTAAAAAAGGATTTTGGAAAGGAAGAAGAGGAGGAGGAAAAAGAAGAAGATAACGACGAAGAAGAGGTAGTACAAATAAGTGGAGGAATATTCGAGGAGGTGGCGGAGGGAGAGGATGAAGAATCTATCGAGGAATTTGATCCTGAAGACCCTGCGCTTATGGAAGATGAACAAGAAGAAGAAGAAGAAGAAGAAGAAAAAGAAGGACTTTCAAGATCTTTAAAAACCGTCTACAAGTACGATATGGCAGCAGACTCTTACGTGAGAGTGGAAGGAAATGATGAGCGAGTTTCTGTGGAATCTGAAGCCTCCCAAACTTCAGGGAATGAAAATTTAAGAGAGGGAATGAGGCAGCCGAATATCTTGAAAAGAAAACTAGTAACATCGAATAAGAATGATGGAGAGGACGAGGTACAAAACATAGTGGAGCAGCACAAGGCACAAAAGTTAGATTCAAATAATCTTTTGAATATCAATAATCCTCCAGAAGAAGATGGAATTATGTACGTAACCGTGAAGGGATCCAAACCGAACGAGATTCTTTTGGTAAAGGTGAGTAAATAATTTTACGAGAGAAAATTGTTTAAAATTGCATTTAATTGTAAAAATGTAATAAAATTTGTTTTACATTTTTTTACTTTCCTTGGTTTTGACTTTTGTATTTTATTTCGTTACCGAGAGATTATTTCGTTTTTCCCCTTTCCTTTTTACTTATTTTTATATGAATTATACTGTATACATTTTATTTTTATATTTTATTCTCAATATTTTCAATTGATTATTAATTTCGTTATATCGCTATATAAAAATTTACAAAAATTAAATAATTATAGTTATTTTATATTTTAAATTATACTGCACTATGTCTTTTACTGCACTTAGTCTTAATTTTTTTTTCTATTATTTAAAAAAATATATTTTCATTCTTTTCTTTATTTTTTAAAATTTTAATTCAATTCATGTCACTTAAACAGTTAGTTTATTTCCGACTCTTATGTTTTAAGCACAATTTGTATACATACATTATAATTACATCAATCACTTATCTATCTGTGACTTCTTTTAGGTCAAGAAAATGGACAAACCCATGGAATCCAAGCGCGCAGTAACCTCCGCTGATCTCAAGCCTGTTGAGCGTTTTCTCAAACGTTATGAAACGTTGACATCGAAGGACTTTTCCTCTCGACGCCCCGATGCCCGCGAGCAAATAATTGAGGAACAAATCGAAGAATATAAAAAGAAACGAGAAAAAGTCCTTGGAGGTCAATCGTTCAATGTGAACGAAACACAAAGAAAAATACCAGAAGAAGAAATTTCCGTCAATATGAATTTTGAAAAGGCACAAGAAGAAATGACAGTTCCGAAGGAAGTAGATGGAGAGAGAGAGGAGAAAGAGGAGGAGGAGGAGGAAGAGGAGGAGGAGGAGGAGGGGGAGGAGGAGGAGGAGGAGAGGATAAAGATAAAACAGGAGGACGAGGAGGTGGAGGAGGAGGAGGACAAGAAGGAGGAGGCGGAGGAGGAAGAGGAGCAGGAAGAAGAAGGAGAGAAGATGGAAAAGAGTAACGAGAAGATTGACGAGGGTCAAGAAAAGGCCAATGATAATACAGAGGAATATTTTTCAAAGTTATCAAGATTGAAACTAAAGTGGGAAGAGACAAAACGGAAAAAGGAAAGTTTGCAAAAGGAACTAAACGCATCGTATAACGAAGGGAATTTGGAGAAATTGGCAAAAGTTTTGGGGGAACAAGAAAATCTGCAGGTAATTGATATTTCGTTATTAGATACTATTGCTTAACTTAAACTTTATCTCTTCCTTATTTATATATGTACCACTCACATTATTTATTTTTCTATTGTTAATCATAAAGGAGGCGTAAATTTGAATTACTGGCCCATTCTGTGTAAAATACACAAAATTTTTTATTTATATTTATAATTTCATTCCCTTTCTTTAAATTTATCTCTCTGATTCTTACTTTCTGTTCCACAATTTTTTTTCCTCATTCTAGGAATTCCAAGAGTACCTGAAGCAGCGTAAAATCGTTCTTACTCGCCTTAAAGACGAGGACATAATCTCCCTCTATGAAGATCGATTCTCCACGACTTTAAAATCGCTCCCTAAATCGCTTCCAGACCTTATCGACACTCAACCTCCTAGCGATCCTCTTTCCGAAGAGCGCTATTTGGAATGCGATTACTGCTCCGAAACCTTCTCCAACCGCGATGTTCTCGAGGAACATCTCAAGTCCCACGACTACCGTATGCTTCATTATTGCGACGATTGTGGGGAGGAATTTCAAACGAATAAAGCAAAAAGAAATCATAACGTGATTTGTGTGAAGAAATTAATTTGCAAATATTGTGACATAATTCTCGACTCCAGAGGGAAAAAACGTCAGCATGAGCAGAAACATGTTGATGCTCTTTATGGTCAACTTTGCGAGGTTTGCGGAGAAAGATTCAAACACCAAGGAACCCTGGATCAACACCTGAAGACGCAACACACGAGCTTGGAGAAGATTTATCAGTGTCCAAAGTGTCCAAAAAAATTTGCTTTCAAACAAAAGTTGAGTTTTCATCTAAAGTCTGTTCACACTACTCTAAGAGCGTATCTTTGCGAGGATTGCGGTGCAGATTTCAAGAATCCCGCAAGTTTAAGACATCATAGAATCCGAAAACATCAACCGGTTGGAAATAAGAGGGAATGTCAAGTTTGCAGAAAATTGGTGCCGTTTTACAGTTTGTCGAAACACATGCACACGCACAAAGCCTATAGTATCCAATGTCCACATTGCGACAAAATGTTCAAGAACAGCTCGACTTTGAAGCAACATGTGAGAATTCATGAAGATCAAAGGCAGTATCGTTGTGACACTTGCGGCGTGGGATTTAATCGGAGGGACGGTTTGAGGCTACATATGAGAGTGCACGAAAAAACCGGTAGTAGAGGCTTGAAAGAATGTTCCTGCCAAGTTTGTGGGGAAAAGTTTCCAAATCATTCGACTTTGGTGATTCATAGGAACAGAGTGCACAAGGATGGGAGGCAGTATACGTGTCACATTTGTAACAGGTCAATGATTTCGGCAAGATCGCTCGAGTGGCACATGTCGCACATTCATAACGAGTCGATGCCAGGTAATTGCAGCAGCACGTATGATGATTTCTAACGTGTAGTGTGTTGTCAAGTCTGCAATACACATTACTTTACTTTATTAAGAGAGAATATAATTGGAGTTTAAATTAAAATTAAAATGAGGAACATTTGCGCAAGAAATTTATTCAAATATTCTCTCGTAATATATATGTGAGAGTAAAAGATGAGGAAGGATATAAAAAATTTTAATACATTCTTTTTTATAGATGGAATTTTTGAAATAATAGAAAAAGTAATTTCTCTTGTAGGCATTATCCACGACGAATCTGGTCTGCCTGAAAAGAAACGAGTTTCCTGCTATCATTGCAATAAGACTTTCAAGACGGAGCTGATTCTTCGTACACACATAAAAAATACGCACATGGAGAAGGACCCGTTAAAGTGCACCGACTGCGAGGCTATTTTTACATCCGAAGTGCGTCTCCGTCATCATATGATGGTCGTCCATAATCGTCTCGAGGGTACTTTGGCATGCCCTCACTGTCCGAAACGATTCGTGAATCAGTTAAGGCTAAAGACTCACATGATCTCTCATTCTGAGGAAAGGCCATATACCTGCGAGATTTGCGGTTTCAACCTCAAGACAAAGATCCAGTTGATCAAGCATCATCAAAACCGGCACAGCGATGAAAGACCTTTGCAGTGCAGGTAAAGTAATGATCGCGTTACTTTAATAAAGGTTCATTTCTCTCAAAATCGTGCAAATGAATCCCTTGGGGCTTACGAGAATTATTATATGAAGAAACGTGACGTGGTTATTCTCGCCTCACATTAAATTTATTTATTCATTCGGGACTTAATCATCACATTTGTTCAATAACTTTAATTGTCAAAATTTAAACTGAAAAATGATTAAAAATTGGAAATTAATAGAATTAATGTTTTAATACCAAGTACACACTATTACGCACTCGACTCGAGAAAATCGTCCAATCTACATATCATTATCGTTATCAAGTATTATTATTTAATAACAGTTTAAAATATTGCAGGTTGTTTGTGAATTTTCAAGTTGGAAAATGATATTCGTGTTATTTATTTTATGAATGTATGTACATATCATTGTATTGTCATCTATTTATCGTACATATTCGATATGTTTCAGGTATTGTCCTTGGCGATGCAAGCAAGTGAGTGCTCTTGTTTGCCACGAGCGCACGCATACCAATGAACGTCCATATTCATGTAGCGTATGCCGGCAACGTTTCAAATATCTTGGCGACAAAAACAAGCATGAACGTCGTCACGAGAGCCTCGGTGGTTCAGGCTTCAAGCGTATTGTACCCGGAAGGAATGTCAAACCGAAGACACGCACCGGAGATTCCGACGGATCCGAGCAAGAGCAGGGTCTCCTCAAGGAATCGGCAAGTCAACGGGACATTCAGGTTACTCAAGAGCAATACGAGGAACAGCAGGAGGAAGGACAATATAGTCAGAAATTTTCGGAGGAACAAATGATCAAGTTCGAACAGGAGCAGATTGTCAAATTTGAAGGTCAAGAGGAATATGAACAAGTGTACGAACAGGTAAGGCTCCTGCTCAATAACTACTTCATTTTGCTATGTTTTCCATTTCTGGATCTCGCTGTCGATTGTCGCAGCGAGGTAATTGTTGAAGACAGCTATGTGAAATAGCAATAATCAGCAGTCATGAGTCTCGTTGAGTTTTCTCCAACTTGGTTGTTCTTCTAGGAGTATGAAGAAACTTCGAGAGAAGCATCAGAAGCTACCGAGGTAATTATGAACATGGAAGATTCCAATGTATATACAGAGGAGGTTACGGCCGATAATATAGAATCTGGCGCGGAGATCATAACAGATGAGTTGATGACGAATGACATTCTGCAATCTGGCACTGCTGTTGTGCATCTGCAACGCGAAGACTCGGGGAAGATTCAAATGATACCAGTAGTGCTGTCTCTGCCCGACTTATCCGACGCAAGCAGCGAAGTTACCGCATCAATTATGTATAACAACTAGATTTCACTTTTCTCGGCAAAAAATGGTTTTCCGTAAAAAATATAATGAACGTAAAAGGTTCTTGAAAGGTCTAATAAATCTTTGAACTCTGATTCCGTTTAATCTCCCCTCGATTGTACACAAAGAGTGGCATATGCAAAATGATGACGGTTTAATGGATGGGAATTTGATTTCTCATAATCTGAATTTGTCTAATCAGGAAAGAAAATATTGCAGAAGAATTTGATAAAACAAGTTGTGGGAAGAAAGATGTATGAAATTCGAAAATTGATCAATTATGAAAAAAATATTCTCATTAAACGAAAAAGTGCAAAACTATGTACGAAAAAGAAACCAAAACTCTTGAAAGCGCTTGTTTTGTAAGATAACGCGATACGCTATGTAAACTATCTTGTATAAATTAGTGAGAGCGTGATATGTGCGTGCGTATGTGTATTGTCCATTAAATAAATCACTCTATGTATCATTATTTTGCATCAATCTTTATAAAGATTGTATTACACGCTTCTTTTTAATGAACTATTGCTCTATTCTCTGTTTACATCTTTTGCACTTTTTTGATGTTCTTTCTTTTTTAGAATAAGACATTTATATCGCCATCACATTAACATCATCATTAACCTTATCATTGTTATTTTTCAGTTATTTTCTTCCTTCAATACTCTCGAGAGTGCAAAATACATATATATATATATATATATAAAAGACAAACTTCAAATAGTTGTATTTGATGTAATAATGTGCAGTTATAAAATATCCATCGAAATCCGTGGAATCTGTTTTTTTTTTTAGCTACATTTACTGCATTTTTTTCTTTATTTCAAACCTTGAATGTATTTGTCCATTAATTTATTTTAAGGAAATGCAGCTAGAAATAGTTTTAATCATAAGATAATATTTTTACTACATGTATGTATTTTACTACTTTTTCGCTTGTCTCCAAATCTCTTTAACTTTCTAGATAATTATTCATTCACTTTAAATGCAAAAAGTAACTTAACACAACTAAAAAAACAAAATATGCTTTTTAATACGTTATACTTACATTCTTTGCTAATACTTATATTTTACAAAGATGGTCAGGGTTACGAACTCATTGTCAGTATATTATACACACACACACACACACCGAAAGTGTGTGTGCGCACGCGCGCATGTATGTGTGCATGTTAAGTATCTTAGATAAGATAATGATAAGAAAATTTTTCGCCTATTTTTTCTAATGTCGCGGATCACAATTATTCAAATGTTTTCTCATTTTTTCAGAATAAAAATTGAAGATTCCTAAATAAAACAATCACATGCAAAAAGATATACCTAATTTTATGAATAAAGTCTGCGCTTTTGATACATGTGCAAGTTTAAAATTGAAAGGAAAGGGGAGCTAAATATAGTGGCAGATGTATATTTTTCGGGGAAGTGATTATATATTTAAAGCAATAAAATTAATGTAAGATTTGTATGTCAAAAATTGTGTTTTAAAAATTAGGTAGACGTACATAATTAAATGTATAAATAAAATTAATTAGTTTTATGTTAGAATATAATTATCATTATAATTTATCATTTACAAGAAAATAATAAATTAATTTAAAATTGAAAGAAAATTGAATAGACATATTTCCAAAATTTATACATATTGGCATGTATATGTATTTCTCTCTCTCTCTCTCTCTCTCTCTCTCTCTCTCTCTCTCTACATGTCGGTGTTCTTTTGGTATTCGGACGACTTTGAAATTAAAAATCATTACCATGTATACGTCACTAGTTTAAGCGTACTAATTACTTGCAGCTATAAATTATGACATCATAAAAAAAAAACAATTGAGTCATCTTGATTTTTTCTTTGTATTATTACATTCAAAGAAATCAGTTTTTCTTGATTTGTATGCAATAAAATATATTTATGAAATGTACGCTGTACACTTTCAGATTTGTAGCTCAATAAAAGTAGCCACAAATCGCTACGTATCAATTATCTACACAGTCATAATTATTTTATAATCGTACAACAATATTGTAATGTTGCAACGAAATATCTTTTTAATGTTTGGAAAATAAAATTTTAAAAATCCCAATTTAGTCAGGAGTATATGCATTTTTTCACTGTTTAATAATTAAGTCTATAAATTCTTTACTTTAATAAATTCCTTAGTTGTTGCAACAGATATGTTACAAAACGTATACAAAAATCCAAGAAATCAATAAAATTCAAAGAATCCACAAGATAATGATGGAAATTTATAGAAAAAAAAATCAAAATTTATACATCACAATCTTAATTAAGATGTGATAAAGATTTGACTACCCAGTAGAAATGTATCCAGTATTATCATTACTTAAGAGTAAAATTATCTCAATGAGAATTATTAACAACATATATATATACATATATATATATATATATATATATATATGTGTATATATATTTATTTATTAATAAGGTAAAGACAAAAAAATAACGGGTGATGGGAACTACTTATTATTTAAACAATATCCTTTCATGTGAAATAAGTATATATTATATTTATATATATCTTTTTTGTTATATACATTTATTCTCAATATATATATGTTTAAATAAAAAATATCAGACTCTTCGTGCTTCATTTGTATAAAATAAAATTTTGTACAAATTTTATATGCAATTTTATAGTAATTTTTGTGAATTCCGGATGATGCACCCGAAAGAATAACATTCCATACAGCACAGGAAAATTGCAAAAACGCTGTAGAAATATTTCATTGAAAGATTGCAATATTATACATAATGTAGTTTGTTTTGTTAATTAGACGATTAAAATATCGCAGCAACGTTGGAATGTGGCTTCGCCAGTTATAAAGCAGTCTACAATATACTATCGCACATAGCATAGTTTGAGTATGCATGTATATCAATGGCAGTATGTAGTATAACATGTGCAACGATATTATACATTTGATATTTCTAATTTCAATACTTAGATTGAATAAGTTTGAAAAAACATGTAGAAATATTCAACGTCAGATAAAAGCTTGTGTTTTTTTTACCTTCTGATATAAAAATTTTACAAATGACATTATAATCATAAATCATAAATATTACATTGTACATATAACAAATAATCAAGTGTAATCATAATTGCAATGTGTTGTCATAGTATATGTCTATACACAGGGTGTCCCAAAATTCGTGAATCAAAATATATAATAATTATAGCAAGAAAGTCTTTGAAAAATTAAGTAAAAAAGTTATTTGTAAATTTTTACTTTAAGCAATAGTTTTTAAGATATAAGGGTTTAAATTTAACCAAGTAAGATTAGTACTCGTGTGAAGTGCGCGACCACTAACACTATTGATATTTTCACGGACATGTTTCCGTTTAATCGTAATCTATAATTAGCTAAATTTAAACTCTTATAAACTCTTATATTATCTCAAAAATTACTGCTTAAAAACTTACAAATAACTTTTTTACTTAATTTTTCGAAAACTTTCTTGCTATGACATTTTGATCCGCGAATTTCGGAATACCCTGTATATGTATATTGAGGGAAAGATTTCTAGTCAATTATGGAAAAATTATTTCGAATTAAGTACGCATGTATTAGTTAAATGAATACATTAGGTACATTCAATCATCTTTAAGATGATACTTATGGTAATGGCCATTATTATATTTGCTAGTACATAACATTTTTTTATGGGATGTATGTATAACACGGGAAGCGTAACACCACTTGACAAATTAGAATTGCACTTGACAATTTTTTGCTGCCACAATTGCTATACAGGTCTCGTCATAATTTTACAATGTTTTCACAAAGTTGCTACGTAATGCAACTGAAGATTCTGTGCTGCATGAAAAAATGTAATTCAACATTAAGTTTGTAAGTAAAGTTATTTAAATTGTAACGCATTCGTCTTATTAATGTTATTTATCTCTTTCTAGTCTCATTGAAGTGCGTGTATAAAGTCCTGCTGCTTATTTCAATGATGTTTGTACCATTGAAAATTCTTCTAAATAGAATTGGAATGTTCCCTTCCTTTCATCTCGAGGAGAAATAAAATTCTTTTATTTCTTTCTTCTCTGTTTAATCATTGATTGCGATAGAATTTTACAGCAAATTCATTCACACTGTGATTGTATTTCTATATTATAAAGACTGCTATACACGAAGATATCTGAGTGCAAAAGTAATATAAATGTATTTTGAATATTTAAAATATTTAATATACATTTCGCTAAAAATGTAAAAAACATGCACATTAGGTATTTTATCGGTCACAATGCTTAGTATTGTATGGTGTGTTTTGTTATTAAAAATTTTGATGTATAGCAATCTTTAACATTGCTATTAATAGAAAATAGTGCAGGTTTGAACTCACGTGTTCTTCAACGAATAGTCTGATATCAGTTTTGAAATAAAATAATATTATCAATGCTCTGACAAACTTCAACCAGATAAGCGTATTTTGCATCTCAGTCTAAATGTGATTTAGGCCGAGAGCACAAAAAATGAAATGCATGACACAGCATAAGCATAGCATAAGATTGCTGGGTCAACGAACATCTATAGTATAAAGTCTCTATACTGATTTACATAAGATTCTCATTAGTCTAGCGATCTTATGCTTGCGCTCTGTATTATGTATTTCATCTGCTCCCGGCTTTACAACTTTCTATTTTGTTTTCCTGTATTAAAAAAAATCGACTTTCCCTTATAGGTATACATGCTGCTTTGAATTAACCGCACTGTCTTTAATTTGTGGATTTTTTATTTTTCTGAATCGATTCTTCAAATTTATCTAAAGCTTTGATAGAGGAGAAAGAAAGAAAAAAGAATATCATCTTTCTCTCATATATTTTTTATATATTATTAATAAAACTCAATAGTCAAACATCAAATTAAGGTCGGTAAAGTTCATTTCAAATCGTTTAAAGGCCAAACCTTTATCACACTCATTGGCGAGTGTTCAAATTTAATTCTTGTCTAAACTTTGGTAGTATTGCACAAGTACTTGCCATGCTTTAGGTGCCATAAAGCCATCCGGGGGATTTTGGCCTGCCTTTGCTAATCCTGTAAGTACAAAATAATTAATGGTGTATTGGGATATTGTGTAGAAAATTTTGAATTTCGAAAATTTCAGTATTATGAAATTTTTTAGATTTTTTCAACATTTTGAAAAAAGTATGTTATGACGAAAACATTGAAGTAATTCGTAAGAATAAATTCCATAATGTAAATTATATGAAACAAAGATAAAGATCAAATTAGGCGAAAAATTATGTATATTTTTATCTTCATTTTATCTTCACATTTTTATTTTGCATCTTTGGTTTTATATTATTTTATCTTTAATGTGTGCCTGTTTTGCTTAATTTTGCTTTTACTTTTGCCATTGTTTTATATTATTTTTATATTGGCCCTTCTTCTTTAAAGAATCCTTCTTTTTTAAAGAATATTAAAACTTATTTATATCATAGAATATCATAATCAAGAACTCACCTCGCATTTTTGTTCCTGAAATGAACTCAAAGTCTTGTTTCCGCTCGGAGTCGAAGAATGCCATCTTACCACTCCGCGTATCATAGGCAGCCACTTTGAAGGGAATGATCTCAAGATTATGAAGACCTCGGGCCATAGAGAGTATTTTGGCGCCATGAGTGGGATCATACAAATTTCCATCAGGCGTGGCGTCTTTGTTTGGATGCGGTATACCCGCAGGATCCCTACCTACGATGTAGAAATTGGCGCCAGCATTCATCCTAGCCTTTGCGTGCCATTGCACCTGCATAAAGATATAATTTTGTTTATCTCGTTTATGTTACTCGAGGGATCTAGCTGGTAAGTATACAGGTAAGAGATGCACGGGATGCTACAACAGAGACAAAGTCAAAGTTATAAGTTAGCAAAACAGTTAAAACTAAAAATAAAAATTTCAAAATTTTATTCATTACATTGAAGTTAGGCTGAACTAATTGTGTAAAGCTCGTAAAGCTGGTTACAATTTTTTCACCTCAATCGGTCCAGCATACATCATCGGGCTGGGGAAGATAGCCAGTAACGTGGAATTAGCATCCAGCACACCCTCGTCCAGAACCGCCTTGTGCTGTAAGATCCTGGTGTACAGGGACACATCGTCTTCTTTAGTCCAACCACCCAGCGGATGTAGTAGCAGCACGGGATTTTTGAAACCACGCTCCTCCAACAATCGTCTCTTTGTGTCCTTGTGCGATAAACAACAAGGTGGTCATCAGGTTGGATTATCTCAATATGTGTAGGACAAGATATATTACTTATAGAGCGTGATAACATGCGACACATTTCTTCCCGCGAATCTTTTTCTCTCGGAGCGGTACATAAAAACGAGGGCGGCGGTCGCACTTTGAACACAAGTAGTGACATATATACCTGCATAAGCAGCGCATGTCCATTGTGAATGGGATTTCTTAGCTGGAAAGCAAATACGGCATCAGCCTTCATCTTTCGACATCTGGCACGGATTTCGTTCGGTGTGAGCCTGTATTTGTCAAGCCCATCGTGCCATCTGATCCTCTCTAAAACTTCGAGGTCGCCTCCCATCAACCAGTCTCCAGAATCATAAATCATCCTGACATAGGGATGACCCAAGTTATTAGTGCCAAACTGCCAACTACAACGCTCTTCTTTCCGATGGAAATAAAATTCCGGTCTTCGTAGTATGGCCAAAGCTTTCTGCTTGTGCTTCAAGGTAACGGCGAGAGAATTTTCCAAACGGTTCTTATCAATCGTGCTTATCTCAAGAACAATCGGCACCGATTGGTTCACTTCTTTGCCATCTTCGAGCAAACACCGCAAGTGTTGGGCCTTAAAAAAGATAAGATAATGACAATATATTAATATATATAATATATAACGATCAAAGTTTAAGTCGATCAAAAAATCGCATTGCTCGATTATCAATTTTAATATACGCTCATACGCGCGGAATCATTTGATAAATATATATCAGATTGTATCGGCACAATCGTGTTTTTTTATATAGCTAGATTGCTTCAGGTGTATGTACGTACCTGAAGATATTGATGTTCTCTCATAAAGCCGGTTAATGGCGTCGCCCATCCTTCCGCCAGAACTTGCAGCCATTGCACGTTGAGTTCATTAATCTCCACGCTTTGCAGAGTTTCCGCTTCCATTTTCGCGGAAGCTAGCCTGGAATCCGGTACAAAGAGCTCCCTGATCAAATCTGATGGTTTTGCAAGCTGTGGAATGATACGATGCTTCTCTAAAAGTTCAATTACAGTCGAAGCAGATTCTTCAGGAGTGCAATTCTCGGTCTTGACAATTAAGTCAGGTTTTGTGGGTCTCTCGTACATTTGATCGATGCCGGTGAAAAGCTTTAATGGTACCCTGCCGCGCTTTCTTGTAAAGGCCCTTAGTGTCGCGAGCTTCGCAAAGTGATAAGGGTGTATCAACAAACACCTCGAAGAAGGGCAGGTCAGCTTCTTTATGAATCTGTCTTGCCATCTGTCTATCCTCTTCGAAAGGTGACACAAAGCTGCAAAGACAGATTTGTCCGCTATCGGCAAACAGTTTCGCTACTTCAGCCACTCTTCTAATATTTTCTTTCCTGTCTTGTTTGCTGAAAGTTAAATTGCGGTTTAGACCGCTTCTGACATTGTCGCCATCTAAGCCATAGGCAGGAATACCATGGTTCACCAAGATAGCTTCCATCTGAAACGAGATGGAGGTCTTGCCGGCACCAGAGAGACCAGTTAGCCATACCGTGCAACCCCGAAAGCCACGAATACTGCCGATCGCTTGTCCTCGTTTGGCTCTGGATACGTGATGCGCTTGCTGCGATACATTTGCGCAGATCTAAACAAGAATTTTTAACATTTTATATCAGTATACACTTAAATTGAAACTACTGGTTTTTTCTTAACTTAAATTCTAACATTTCAATATTCTTATTTCGATATATTTTTCTTTCCCAAAGAAACAGAATGTAATTTGAAACTTAAAAAATTCAATGACATATTCTTTTTTAGCATTTTTTAGAAAGTGAGACATTACATCATTTCAAATTAGAATGGATATAGGATTTAAAAGTTTAAAAACAACAATAACAAGACAATAAAGATAAAATCATAAAATTCTAAATGATAACCACCTTTAACCCTTGATATTTTTTATGTTAAATTTCCTACAATTAGATTTCTACACTTACTTCTTTCAGTTATTAATACAACCCTTTTATTATAAGTGTGGAACTTGCGCACTGGCAACTAGCTGCTTCTCCATGTCACATGTATATATTCATACAGTTAAAAAAAATAATACAAACGTACATACGTAATCATACAGTATAGATAAGATAAATAAATATTTATCTTATCTATACTCATGGATATGCCAATTTCCAAGGAGACTTTTACTCAAAAAGCAAGAGCAGTGAGTTACAATTTCAAATTACTTTTTAAAAGTGAAATTTTATATAAAAAATTCCATTCCACGATTTTAGACAACGTAGATTTCTTCGTAATAAACAAGCGCGCGTTACATACATATACATATAATATACACACTTTGAAGACAAAGCTGAAAAAGAAGATAAACAAAAAAGGAGGACACAAGGCAGGCACACAAGTGCAGTAGATATTGAACAAATATTATAAGTACTTTGTCTCATTATATTATCCTTTACTTTTATTTATTATGCTGCACGAGACGAAAGAAGCGATAAACGTACCATTATTTTTTTATTCGGTGGCGGTGCGACACTTTGCTCGGCGTTGCTCGATGACATGATTGCAGCTACTAGCAGAGCTACTCAGCGGTAGCTGTGAGTCTACGTGAGCATATACGTGGCAATTGCGTTAAACGCGATCGAAGGCGACGAGAGCGATAACGGATGACGCTTTGTTGATCGACGCTCCATGTTGATCGACGTGATTTACTCCGTTTACTAAACTGTATCACACACCATACATCGACGAGATATTATCATTATCTCGTCAGTGACCATGAATACATAAAAGACTTGCACCATGAACTTGATGTACTAAACCGCGCGATATGTACTACATACATAAATGTTACAACCATTGCGATGACAATGGCGTAAAGCGCACTCTCTCGATGTGACACACGACGCGGATTCCTCACTTTCTCAAAAATTAATAAAAACGCACGGCCCACACTCACGCGGGACACTAATCTCGACTTTCTATCGGTCTATCTGCATTTCTCTAAAATTTATCGACGTTATGCAAGTTTCGCAAAAACTATAATATCTATAATTTATTTCGTTATATATGCGCTGAAAGATGAAGGTATGTACCGACGTTGGGAAATTTACCGACCTTCGATATATCGTATATATTGGCGGTGTATGCGGTGTTTGATATTTGAGGGAGAGAAGGGAGAAATAACTCTTTTTTTCCGCGATTATATGTATATACATACGATTATTTGTCAATTGTATATAAATAGTATATATATATATCAATACATTTCATTTTTTAACGCAGCTAGAGTTGTAATTTGTAAAAAATATATATTGAAAAAAAGATGATCAAAGATTTCTCAACAACTTAATTATTTGCCACAAAATAGAATACATTGTGTAATGTACCGTATGTAAGAGAATTACAAAATTTAGGTCAAGTATATATATTTACATTCATGATCATCGTCGATAATTCTCTCGCATCCTTTGTTGATATAGACAGCAAGCGCTGTTCCCAATAAGTTTCTATGCATTCTGCATCAGTATACATATAATTACATTGCGGGAGTTTAGATTTATTTCCTACAGATTTTTTAAATATTAAATTAGGATGCATATCCTCATAAATATTAAATTAGGACGCATATCACAAATATCGTCAATTAAAATTGTACATTGATGTTGGAACATTAAAAAAAAAAAAAAAAAACAATATTAGAAAACGATAAGATATTGCGCGTATAAATCCTGTATTGTATGTACGATATTACGGGACTAATAAAATAAACTTATAATGATGATAATAATAATGTATCGAATCTGTATAAAAATAGAACTTTTGAACTTTTTCGAAATTTGAAATTTTTACGAGATACAAGATAGAACATGTATGTACATACATACATTATACATACATGATATAAATTGAAAAATTGTATATTATCCAAAGATATTTGAATCAAACATATAAATCTACTTTTTAATGCACATAAATTATGAGGGAAAGGCGGGTTTCGAAATTAAGCTATTTATTCGCTTTTTAATAAATCGGCCGTTTTAGATGAAAAGATTCTACGACGTATTATTAGTTTAATGAAAATCAGGGCGTACGTGTCCGAATTTAATTGATAATCATTAATAATTTACTAATTATTTCTATGCAAATTGCAATTCATTATTTGACTTACACATCCTTAATTATCTCATCTTTATACACGTATACATATATATATATATATATATATATATTTCATTTATTCAAAATATTTTTTTCGCAATTACAATTTATTAATTTGATCGATTAAACAATCGATTAATATATACGTTTTTTTGATAAATTGATTAAAAATAATTTATTGACATCGTAAACCAACAACTATTATAAACGATAAGAATCGAAATTAAGGAATCTTGATTTATCATAAAAAAAAATTATAATATTGTTAACAATTTCAATTTTAATAATTAACAATTTGATATTAAATATTACTTTATAAAAACATCAATAATGAACAATAATTTGGCTGTAATATATAATTTTTATTGATAGTATATTCAATCAAATTTCTAACAAAGGTTCTTCATAATCGATTAATTTCATAATCGATTAATTGAAAATGTTTGAAAACGTGGTCGAAAATCTATATTCGTTACATTAATTGTTAATTTTGTTTATGTTAATGTTGAATTAACGTGTTTATATCAAAATTGTATATTTATAATAAAATTAGAAAATCAGTCCTCAATTCCGCCATTCCCTCGCTTTTCGTAGTCTTGAGAGCATCAGCACAGTGTGTATACCCTCTTATATCGGATGCTTGATATTAAAGACAGTGGAAACAAGATTTAAAAAAAAACCCTCCACCAACCTCCTGCTTTTGATAAGAAAAGTCATAAGTTTTTATTATCATTTTGACTCTTTAGCTTTTTTCTCTATATCTCGCCTATTTCTCCCTTTTCCTTTAATTTTCTCTTTTTTTTCTCTATTCTCTATCCCTTATTATCTTCTAACTCTAATTCCATCTAGTGATCTCTGCATCTTTTTTAAATCTTAAAGATGACTTTGTGTTCAAGCAACATGTTATCCTCCGGTGGCAATGACAAGCAAGCTCGCAGAACGTTTTCGATAGCAGCTCGTTGTCGAAACAAGGCGTTCACCACCGGAGTCCCATGGGGCACTAATGGGGCCTTGCAGAGATATGACAAAATAGAGAGGACACTATGAAATCCGGAAAATTCTTCATCATCGTTGGAATCCGCTTTCTTGAAAGTGATGCGAGAGCAAAGTTCGGCTAAAATGACGAGATCGAGAATAATAGGAGTCGCAAGAAGTGAATCCTCACACGTATTATGGATTACAATTGTGTTGTGACCGCCTAGCATGATTTCAGAAGTGTATTCATCCATAGCTCTCTTGCTGTCACCTAAGAAAGATGTAAATACAAGGAGAAATTTTTATAAAAATCCGAGAAAAATTGCAAGATTCGATTTTCCAGACATTTTATAGATTTTATTAATCATTTTTCAAGAGTTTCAAGTATTTTAAAGCGATTTTAAGTACATGTACTCTATAAATTTTAAAAGGGTGATGGTGATGGGTCATGGTGGTGGTGGGTGATAGTAAGTATAAAAAAAATTTTTATTTCAAAAATTACATGATATAAAAATTTTTCAAAAAAAAAATTTTTATTTTAAAAATTAAATGCCATTATATCTGCATTGAAGCTTCTTTTCCCCAATGTTTAAAAATTCATATTTTCCAAACGTAAACATAGTAATGCATGCAGTGTATATTTATATCGTATATTGCAGCTGGCACGAGATCGGCACGCATGATCTTCCAGCAATGATAGATCATGTTGTAAAGACAACTGGCCGCAAAAAAATGTTCTATCTTGGCCACAGCCAAGGTACCACCTCCTTCTTTGTCATGGCGTCGAACGACCTAAGTATCAAGAATATTTTCAGGAGATGTATGCGATGGCTCCGATTGCTTACTGCGGTAGGATGAAGAGTCCATTTTTGCAAGTACTGGCACAATTTACCACCAGCCTTGAAGTACGTAATACTTAATTTAAAAAAATTGACTTTGACCGATCTCAAGTATCTTTTTTATATCTAACAATTTGAACTGTTGCAGTATATCGGGAAATTAATCGGCATGCACGAATTTAATCCGAACAACGATTTCACAAGAGCAATTCAACAAATAACGTGCGCGGAAAAAGCTATTACCCAACCAATATGCTCGAATGCGATATTCCTGGTGTGTGGATTCAACGCTGAACAATTTGATCCGGTACCGCCTTTATACATATATAATAGCATATTTATTTAAAAGCATATCTTATTTTTCAAAGATACTTTTAAGTGTTCCAATTTAAACTTTTTTTAAAATGATTCTAAACAAAATATAATAATCAAATTTATATGTAAACACACACACACACACACACACACACACACACACACACACACACACACACACACACACACACATATATATATATATATATATAT